CACTGGAAGCCGGCTGACAAGGAAGCAAACTATTCAAAAGTCATTTTTGAGATCGCCAAGGTAGATAGTGCTGAAGGATCCCCGGACACGCAGGAATCTATTGCGAGCAAGGTGATGAAAACTTTGGGTTTCAAATTATGTTACATGGCAGCGTAAAAGTTAAAAAACTTAAAGGAATATTCAAGAGCGTGGAAAAATACACAAACTGTCGTACGGTTCCTAGAATTTTAATAAGTGTATAAGTATTTTACTAGAAACGTTACTTTAAAACGTTAGGTATTCAAATATTCAATGTATTCAATGCCGATAAAAAATGAGAACAATAGAACGTTCAAATACTCAATTTAATTAACTGCGGAAAGTATGTGGCTTACTTTCTAAAATTTCCCCCCGACCTTACGAGTATCTTGTGGATATTCCTCAATTAAATAGGATAATGAATGAGTCAGTGTGTCGCCCCCTGACATTAAGACGATTCGTTCAATATTCGGAGCTAATGAGTATTTAAATTTATTCAACACGAAGCGGAAGCGATCAAAAACGCCTCATTAGGCCGCTGCTGGTCAGTTTTGGTTCCAGTTTTCGGTTTCCAGTTCTTTTCGGCTAATAAAATACGAAATAGATTTTCCTGCTCTGTTGACAAACAGCTCGTAAATTACACGCTCATTTTTCAGACATTTTACGAACACAACCGGGCCAAAATCGACCTTTCAAGCCGGCTACTGTGAGTGAGTCGAGTGCATTGGCCACGGTTCTGGTCGTTTGTTCTGCAACGGAAGTTTAAATAGAGGTAGGGGCGTAAGATTGGTGACAATACCACCAAAAAAAGAAATGATTACAGCAAACGCTGGCATAACTCTGCGAGGAATTCCTGGCCGATTTCCGTTCCCACAGAGGCATTGGCCCAAAGGTAAACAAATCAATAAGTGGCGAGAAGCGCGAACGATTGCATCCTTATCAAGGCATATGTCGTCCTTGTACCTGTCGGAGGTGCAAAGCCGAAAAGGATACAGCCTGCTGTCAGCCTAACCATTTCCGCTTAGCAAGCCAAACAATAGCAATGAGATTTTCCTCGCTGCGGCTGTCGCTCCGCAGATAAAAGAGGAAAAGAGGCCGCGACCGGAAAAGCGCATTTAACGCGATTTGATGGTTTACAAATTGGCTTAAAGGAACCGGAGAGCCGGGGAAACTGGTATCTCACAAAGAGGAGTGTTCGAGCAACTGACGGCATTTGCTCGAAGGGTCGGAGGTTGAGATTGAGGCTTGTTGTGTTTGGATAAAAGATTGTTGCGATAGGGTTGCCGATGAGGGACAAGGTGGTTCGGTGCTGGAGTCGAGTGCGTCAGGAAAAGATGGTTTGCCACGGGGAACAGGGATTTCCCCTTGGGAGATTATGCGAGTATGCAAAAGGGCTGCTCATCTCTTATTGAATATTTAATTGGATATCCCTGGATCCTGCATACACTGACAATCCGATAATGCTTGCTACTAATAAAATGGGCACAGAATTTTAGCCACAGATTAGGTTGGTAATATTCATACTCAAATTCTAGAGTTTTAGCTTAAAGTGTGTAACCCACCTTGCAAGTATTTACCCATCGAGCTGCGCCTTCTGTGCTATTATCTCGCCCGAACCACGTTGCCCAACTATTTCATAATACAGAAGCATTATCTCTCCATGCGGTCAGTCCGCGTTCAAAGACCCCGGTTACTCAGAGGTCTATAATTAAGTGCATTACAGGCGGCCACCGTACCGCGCACTTCCTTTGTTTGCTCACCTTTTCCCGAGTGGAGCGAAGTGAAGCGAGCAAGGCGCAAATAACGCTGACTATTTGCCAAGTACATTCAGCCGGCTAGGAAATGCCGGGGGTAACAACATTCCATTCCAGAGTTATTAATTGGTGGCTTAATCAGCATGACTGCGAACTTTCAGCGGTAATCTATGCGAACGACATCAAACTCCAAAGGTGATGAATTTATGATTTTAGTACGGCAAATTTTATCAAGATCTTATCAACAGACCCAGTGGCGTCGCATTCCGTCTGTTGACCTCATTTGCTTTTGATGAAACGAAGCCGTTCGCAACAGTGTGACGAAATAATTCGGCTAATTGTAGCGCAAAAACACCGAAACAGCTGGAATTACCTACTTAAAATAACTTTTAATTTCGCAGGCATCACGTGAGCCGCGTCACTTGATAATTCCGTCCGGCGCATGCGCAACCGGTTCGCATCTTCTCACTGCTGCCTGTCGGCGTCTGGCACGCAAAAGATACAAACGTAAACATCTCGGTGATATTATTATTAACAATACACGTCGGTGGCTGGATTTCGTAGTATTTCTGTTTTTTGTATCTAATTAGTGGTGAGTTTGTCCTCATTTGGGGAGTTTCCTGTTTTAAGGGGTCTAATTGGATCGGAAGTTAGCGAGCACCACAACCTTGGTGGACGAAGTTGGGCTAAGAACCATGATAAGGGTTTGATAATGCTGTGGTGAATTTGATTTTAAATCGCAGGTGATTGAAACTATGCGTTTTTACATCATCAAACATTATTTTCACTCAGTTTCGATATTATTCAAATTTTTAAACGGAATTTAATAACCTTAATAAATATTTATTTAATTTAATAATAATAATTAAAGCCCACAAAGCTATATGCCGAGCTTATGTAAAAAGATAATTAATATCTACCGCATAAAAAAATAATTATAGCTAACAAAGCTTTATTGCCAAGCTAATGTAAGAAGAGCATGCAAAATACCAGATCGAACCAAACCGAACCAAATCGTACAGAAAACATATCGCGCCGCGGAAAAACACATGTGTTGTTTTGCCTAAAAACAAAACGTATTTAGTTCATGTTAAATGAAGATCGTAAATAGCAATCTGACAAGTGAGCAAGCTGACAAGATGATTGGTGGCCACTCCAGATAAGGAATCGCCGTGATACACAATGCAACCGGCTACTCCAAATAAATCATGTGTACACAGATACTTTAGATTAATGTTAGGGTGGAATGGCCACAAGACACCTGGAAACAAATGTAAATATTGCAAGCAAACATCGTTCATACGACTTTAAAACAATAACTCAATCAGCCATTGTACGCTTCCCCATAAACGGGCTGTTAACCCAATTAATTCCATTCAATTTAGCTTTTAGCTGTTAAAGAGCAAAAAGAGGTAATTTTAATGCATTCGCCAGCGCCATTTATTTGCAAATACACATTCCGCAATCTATCAATTGGAAAGCCCGTGACAAAGGCTCTTGAAAGCGATTAAGAGCACCCCCCTTGAGGGCAAATAGGGTACCAGCTTTAAGTGGCAGTATCAATGAAATAATTCGAAATTGATAAAGCTCTAATCATGCGTCACTAAGCCTGTGCAGAATGCTAATTGCAATTGATGCTCATAAATAGTGCAACACCACACGGAAAAGTCAATATTAGCAAATGGAAAATTCATAATCAGGCAGTCGATCGAATCAATTTGTGATTTACAAATAGTTAACCGCAAACACAGGAAAAATTACTTCCACTAAGCACACAGCAAAACAACTTCTGAAACTGCAATTATGCAATTGCATTAAAGCACAACATAATTGAAATTTCTCTACACTTCGAAACTACACACATTGTTTCGGCGGCAAGTGCAGCAACCGCAAAATTCCAAATAATGCAATGAAACAAAATAATTAAATGCAAATTTTAATAAACACCAAAAAGATAATAAAACACACACTACGACAACCGAGCAGCCAAACAGCAAATATTACCAAAACACTAATGAAATACTCGCTGTGAAATTGTCCATGAAATGCTCACGTTTCGGCAGCATAAGTCCAATGCATAAATTTAAATGTAAATGATATGCAATAAACATGAAATATGCATGGCCGGATTAGAAGAACAATTTCTGATAGTCCGGGCAAAATTGCAACTAGAAATAAGCCAAAGCGAAGCGTATTAAAGCCGGACTGGTAAATATATACATGTTAGTAGTTAGCAATCAGAGCTTGAGATAAAGAAGAAATATACTTAATATTTATATTGTAAGTGCATGCAAATGGATTGTGTAAATAGGAACTTTATTGCTGATTAGAAAAAGCGGAATCGTAATCTATCGGAAATTAATCCAATTCAAATGAGCACTATTGCTTTCACTACAATAGGTAGGCTGCAATTATTTTTAACTATATAGAGGAATATATTAAGCAATAAATAAGCAATAAATTGTGAGAAATGGGTGGCTAAGCAAAAACGACAACTTCCTTACAATTACATTATTTAGTCATAACTTTGTAGATATAAATTATAAAATATATATTCAAATAGAATAAAACTCAAAACATCGAAAATCTTAAAGTTCGAAACTCCACTCACAAATAAAACTAAGAAAATTGTTCAATCATTGTTTAATTGTCAATTGCTGCAATCGACTCGTGGTGATTACTGATTAGCTGGTTTAAGTTCTCTCGGCAAACTCACTGCACGCTGAAAAATATGAATTAAATATAAATTTTTTATTATTTTATTATTTACTGCAATTAATATGTCAGAAAAAATATTAAATATATATATCAGTTGAGCAAAACAATGTATAATTAAAACTTGAATATCATTTATAAGATTTTAAATAGGGCAAGGAATGGAAAGACATTACATATGTCATAGTATGAAATATATGTTCTTTTACCATTTAAAGTTAATAAAGTTAATTTATTAAGTTAATAAAATAACTATTGTTTGAGGTCATAATTTTCTAAGTGCTATTTTTGTCCCCGGGGTTCGTTGATCGCGTTGTCTCACTTGATTTGATTATTTTCCGCGTCTTCGCGTCAGAAGCAGTTTCGGCCAGACATAGCTCAATCCCAATCTCAATCCGTATCTGTATCTGAATCTCAGCATCTGCCTAGGTTCCGTCATTCAGGCAGTCTGTCAGTTTGTCACATGCTCAGTAAGTCATTCATTCGGTTTGTTTGCCAAGAGTCGCTGGCTTTTTCAACGATATTTTGCGGTCGCAGTCGACGTAGCGCTGTCACCGCGACGGCAGTTAACTTCTCGCTGTTAACGTGGCTATAATTGCAAGACGCAAGAAAGCAGTTTTAATTGTTGTAAACAAGCGCGCCTGGTCGGTTCATTTGGCTAAACAATAACAATCGGCCAAGAGTTCTCCGCGAGTTGTTCAATCATTAGTTATTTGTTGATAAAGGTCGTGAAAATTAAATGGAAAACCCAAAGCGATTGGCGCCAAATATTTGTCTCATACTTCATACAGCTACTTCAAATAAGCAGTAAAAATTAATTGAAACATATAACTAGAAGTGTAAACTAAATGAAAATGATTTAAAAATGGGTTTATAAAATGTAAGCTTTAATAAAAGCATGTGCTTCCTACTTTTCAATATTGCATGTTTACTGATTTGCTGCGTCTTCAATAAAAGTGTGACTACATTACATTATGATGAAAAACCCGGGAAATGCTAACTCAAAATATAAGTGCGATTTTATGAAAAAAAGAATACATTTTCTTAACATATATAAATTATTTAATAAAAACAGTAAAGCATTGAAAAGTCAATGACAATATTTATCAATGAAAGCCATCTCCATGATTTGTTCTCTTTTTTCCTTTTGATCAATTAAATTCAACTTCCAGTATATATCTGTTATGACATTAAATTGATTTGTTAGACATGCCAGCATGCCCGAGCTCTATACATTTATATACTATTCTCATTATCAGTTGTTGGTTTGATCTAGTATTCATGAGCTCCCCAATTATTTCGTATGCAAAGGCGTTGAGAACTCGAAATTTTCCGCTTGATTTATTCAATAATTGCGTATATTCTCCGTCCAGAGTTATAAATGCACAGATATCTGTACTTAAACTCAATAGGGCTCCACCAGTTTAATTAATGTTTATAGATGCTAAAAACAAGCGGCCTAATTGACTGTTATTGAAGCTGTTCTAAATATAGAACAGTCGTCTGCCATAAAGTGAGATGGGTGTGCTTTAAGACTCGGAAAACCCTCTGATTGAGGGTTAAGTTACGCCTATCTAGTTGTCAGTGGATCGAATATGATTAAATCGAATGGGCATTACTGACTGAGTATGTGCATACAAGTGCTTTTCAATGAATAGCTGATTTGTTCGTAATAAAAATTAGCAAGCCACTTAGTAATTTATAGATTTATAAAAAATTATTATTATTTGTTCTCTATTTAAAGAAAATCTTTTCGTAAATCTTGCTGTGTAAAGTATGTTAAAACGATGTTAAGCAGATTGTTATATTAGTGGGCGTATCATTTCTTGGTAGGAGCTTATGGATCTTATTCCCTCTGGAAATCGACATCTTACACGTGGGCTGCCTTGGATTTAGCCATATGCACTTCACGTGTAATCGAGAATTAGTTGGGCAAATATGCGGAGCTTTTACAGCCTCCAAAGTGGCGGAGATTAAACGAAACGAGGCAGAGTTCCAGAGTAATGGCAAATGTTTTCCCTCATTTCCACTTGGCAAATCAATAAAACTGAATTTATACAGATAGATAGCCGAAGGATGTAGAGTATATGCATATGTTTATTGCTAAGATAAATTCCCCGGCAGCAAAACAGTAAACAGCAAAAATATGAAAAAAAAATCAGAGCTTTAATGCCAACGATCAATATTTGTGCAACAAATCAGCAATGAGAGCGGCCTGTATCTATCTGCGAGATACAGATACAGTTTTCAACAAAACCCGCACAAGATGCGTGAGGCGAATTAACACCGATGCGTTAACACAATTAGTTGAAAAGTGAAAAACCGCGTAGAGCAGAAGCTGGAGATTAAATAAAATAAAATCTATATGCCAATCGGGAGTGTCGACAAAAAGCGGGCCAGCAAATTTGCAACTTTACACTCGACGCCCGTTTTCAGTCGCGCAATGAAGCTCCAGCATCGCGGCTGAGTTCAAGAAAGAAATATACAACGACTAAGTGACGAATAACTACTACAGAATATAGTTAGAATAGAGCTCCGAAACATGGCTGATTTATTAAAGGCTCTGAATATTACGGGCAACCTGCTGGCAGGCCTCGAAGATGCCGGCAATCTGACGATTGCAACTGCCACAGCCACAACTTTAAGTGAAGGCCTTAATGGCAATGCGACGACCTTGGACGCCGCAGCATCCACCAATAGTGGCGAAAAACTCGATCTGGGCGGCTTCGATCTGCCCGGCAACTACTCCATACTCATTAACAAACTGGAGCAGCTGGCCCTGGGCTTGGACTCGGCCTTGGGAAATTTCACCATCGATCGCCAGGAGGTCGAGATCAATCTGAGTGGCGCCGCCTCGGCCAACGACGTTGCCGATGTGGCCGACGATCTCTTTGATGTCCTGCCAGCCGCTCGGGCACCGCCGCCGCACATAGCGCACGGATCTAGGATATATACGGGCGACGATGGCCAGGACTTTGCCCATGTGGTCAGCGATATCTGGATTGGGGTCATCCTGACGCTGCTCATCGTCTTTGTGATTTTCTTCATTTGCGCCTGCTTCGTTTACCACAAGTTCCAGCAGTGGAAGAATTCATGTAAGTGCGACCAATGGGGCGTATGCGTGATATTGTATTTTAAGCCCATTCGGTGTGAGATCTTTAACTTATTAAAAATCAACTTGTTTTGCTGATCAATGTCGTTTACCCTTTGAATTTCACCCAAGTCAGCGGATCAATAATCAGCGAATTATTATTTCGCCACACCCCGCCTAGATTTAATCAGTGCCTTCATATTTACCCAACTGACAAATCAAACATAAACATGCACTCACACCACTCGATTGCGCTATTGAAAATTCAAATTCGCGGTAATCCATAAATCAAATTGCAGAATCATTCAGGCTGAATTAAACGTCAGTGGAAACTCGTTTAGAATTGGACTTTGGCGCGAAGAGCGGCGAGAGCCAAGCAAATAAAAAACAAAAATAGAAACCGATAAAAACAAATAAACAAAAGTACCAAAAGCAAAGTCTGCGGCAGGAAAGAACTTTTCCAACACAAATGAAAAGAGCGTAGAACAAAAACAAAACAATAAACTCGCTCCCAGCGGAGTATGATTCACCTCCAAAAAAGGGGAATTGAAATTTCAGTCAGTATTTGTTTGGCACATTCCACACGCAGTCGTATCTTGTGACTTGGATACAGTGGCCAAGAGCAGAAGACATCTCACAGCTTTGCTGGCTAATAAACAATAAATGAGTGTGTTCCATGAGCTGCCTGTTTGCGCCTACTATTTGCCGAAATAATAATTAGAAGCCGCAGATCAGCAGCTAGGAACACTGCGAGAATATCGACGTGCCATTTATAGATAAAAATATACTTTAATGCAGCTAATGTTCTTGTAACATTTTTACTGATTTTAGTAAGACGAGTTTTGACAAAATTCAATTGTATATTATTTAGTAATTATTATTTACTATGTTCATCACAAATTTCAGCAATGATTTCCTTTTCATATAAATATAAAAACAAAAATGTAAGCCTAGGACATTTCTCTAAGCACAAACCCATCATAATTATATATTGTCCTGGTTCCACTCTCCAATAAATCAGAAAGCAATTAGCCCAATAAATTTCCAACTACATTGATTAAACAGTGGGCGGAGAACAGCCCCCAGACAATGTGTTTTGGCCCTTATCTTTCGAGAACCCCATCTTCTTGGCTTTTGGATCTCGGTTCTCTGGGCCATTGTCTTGCCGTTGGCCGCCTTCAAAAACAAACATAACATTTCCAGTTAATTAAAGTTGCAGTCAAGTGGCCCATTTAGAGTGAGAATTTCAAGCATTTGCCGTTGTTAACATTTGCCAACATCTCGAGACCCCAATACTTGCGCTTCCAGCGTCTCTATTACACTGCAAATTTGTGTTAATTAATTAAAGTTCCCTTGTCCTGCACTTGGCCAACAGACTGGATGTCAATTGTTTGCTTACTGTCAAAATGACTGCTGGCTAATTTCTTTTTGCTCGTTTGGCTTCAATTAAGCCAGCTCTACTTGGCCCATAAAGTGCGTAACTCAAGTGCAGGAAGTGAAAGACCTCGAGCATTAATGGGTAGAAGACATATATTCGCCATAAAGAAAATAGTTGTGTATGTGACTCCTTCACTGATAAGGATAGCACAATAAAATGCTGGTTGCCTTTGGGAATGGAAGATGATTGGTAAAATTCGCTATTAAAAGCAAGGTAAAATCAAAAGATTCCAATAAAAAGGCTCACAAAAATCAAAAATCCATTATTCAATATGGTGCTATTTTAAGCAATAATATTTCAGTTTAATTCGGTTAACTGAAATTTACACCAAACATTATTTTTAAAGAGTTTGGTTTATAAGAAATTTCTCTCTCTTTTCCTAACACTTTTCTCTTGCAATCTTTTCAACTGTTTGTATTAAATAAACTCTAAAAACCACCAGAAATGTTCGAGTTGGCAACCAAGCAAAGTCAACAGTCAGATGCTAAATACTTTTGACCAACCACACCCTAGGTTTATTGACGATAAAATTTGTTATACTTTTTAGCCATTGCTTTTCGTAGCTGAACATTTTGCCTAGACACGTTTAGAGGAGATCTGTGCAAACAAAGTGTATTTCCACGTGTTTATAGACGATAAAGTCATTTTAATTTTGCAATTCGCCCAAAGTGTTTTACATATCAATGCCCTTATTCAATTTCCTTTCGGTGAAATTATTTTTTTTCTGGAGAAGTAAAGAGTGTCTTTATCAAACCACGAAACGTCACTCACGTAATGCCAGACAACAGTGCGTATGAGTGACGGGTCGTGACATGGTGTTCGTTTTGGTTCACGGCTGTTTAATTTCCTTTTAATGAGTTGTTTATCTTTGTGTTGTTGCTGTTACTACCGGCGTCATTGTTGCGGCCATCCCATTGTTATTATTTTAACTGATTTGCCTTCCAATTTACCGCTTTTGGTTGCCGTAAAACTTATTGTTTTAAGCTGACACCCTTGACTGGTTTGCTTGGTTAAAGGCTTTAAATGGCAAACATATGTTCGCTATTTGTTTGAGGCCAAAGCCTTAGGGCAACAGCTTCGTTCCCTGCTTAAAGGGATTTATGTTGATGGGCAGGTTAATATATGCTAACATCAAGCGGGTTCGCAGAACCCTAAGATCTACAAATTCAGCAAAATTAAATGTTTTTTCATGACAGAAGCAACAACTAACTGCTGGGTCAATTAAATTCCCATAAAGATAACTTATTAGTACCGCGGGTTATAACCCTAATGTGAGTGCTACCAATTAGCAGAGAAGCCGAAGTACCAAATAAAGATAAGGTTTTTAAAGATCATAAAATCTTCACGGCGAGACCCTAAAAATAAACCCCTTCAAATCAGGCCATAAAAAGTGCTATATAAATAGAAAACCTTAATAATCAAATCGATGGTAGTCTTCAGTTTAACTTTTAACTCTCTGTATACTCTCACCCAAATACTTTGCGAACTGTAATGAAAAGTCCTCCCACAATTTTAATCAACTTGACCAGGCCGCAAATAAACCTTAGCGATTGGTTAATTAAATTAGGCAGTTCGATACTGATTGCATTTGCAAAAGTAATTAACATTTGGGGTGCTTTATCAGGTTTATTAAAGTGCAAATTGCAATGGCAATGGCGATGCATCATCCTCAGGGCCAATGTCCACAGGTTCCTTAAATCGAACTTAATCAAATCCAATCGTATTAAGTCCGACTTTCTCCGCCATTCCCCCCAAAAACAGCGATGGATTCGCTTTAAGCTGCTTTATATAATGCAGGAGGGCAAAACACTGACGTCAATGCTGAATGGTTTTCACGGCAGACAACAAAGCCGTAAGCTGCTTACGGATATATATGTAGATTCACGTTTAGGATCAAGACTTTAACGTTGTATGCCAATGGTATTTGTTGTTTGCGATTTGTGGCTAAATTGAATCGAAGCGCAAAATTCGCATAAATATGCTAACTGAGCGGGGCAAAAATGTTGCGCAAATTAGCAGTAGTAACAAAAATGGCATTTGCATTTGTATTTGTAATGAACGTAATAAGGCAAACACTAATCAGTATTTGCTGCACCTTAGTAGACTGCAAAATACTGTGTATTGTGGTTAGGGATTTGTAATATTAGTTTTACAGCTACATATATGAACCCCCCTTTTATAGGTTAGGTTCACTGATCATTCATATTCCTAAAATAAAGAAAATACTTTCTATATCTATAAGTTTTTGTGTTTTCTAAAAATTATTTTCATTCCAATTACGAGAGGGGAAAATTGTAAATTTTTTATGACAAATTTATACAAATCAGGATGGAGCCAGTGCTGATTTTTCCACTCTTGCAAACAGACTTTTCCATCAATCAATCAACCCCCAAACAAACACGCATACCCCAATCACCCTTTAATTGCCTTAAATGAATGGCCGCAGAAAACAAAATCCCCAATCCTATGGCCTATTCCTGGTTCCCGGTTCCATTCCATCGACCGCAGGCTTCGAACCAATCGACATGATGCTTCAGTTTATAAGCCACAAAACGTGTTGGATTTGTTTCAATGGCGCTAATTGCTTAATTGAAACTGTTTTTGCATTGGCAAGCAGTAGTGGGCTAACTGTAAAGCTATAGACATGTGTTCGGCCCCATTATCCCACCATTTCCCTTCGTAGGCGGCATAGCGAAATGTCAATTAGTATTTGGTTGCTAAAAGCCAAAAAGGAGGCAGCAGCAGCAACAGCAACAACAACTGCAACAAATAACAGCTACCAGAATTAGCATGTACCCTCACACATGTCAAGCTGTCGTATACGTAACATACACTTTGATTAGCGTTACGTATGCGCCACGTTGAGCATTCGATTCGGCGTAATTCGGCTAGGGAATCGAACCTGTGTATGTAGGTGTAGGTGTGTGCACTGCATATATTTTAATTGCGAATTTCCTCCGACTGCATCATAATTGGGCAGCATATTTCAATAATTGAAGCGCGCTATATTTTTAATTAGTTAAATGCGCGTTTAATTAGCTTTATAAATTATGCACATTCAGCGGTTAGTTGCAGTCCATCTCGCTCCCCGTCGTGCTATCCATCTCACTTGCACTCCATTTAAAGCCTGCGGGAGCTGACTTTGGGCTTTTTTACAATTATGAATATTTGTTTGTTCGACAGAGCGACAGGCCGCATTGTTGTTTCCCGCTGCTCTGATTTATTTATGCATTTGGCTATATTTTTTTCGCGTTTATTTCAATTTTTTAACGTTTTTAACGTTTTCGACTTTGTTTGTTTGTTTATGTGCCATTTCACTGTCGACGGGAAATGAACTCGAATGCATTTTTTATTTATTAACGATTGCATGATTTATGGATAAATAATTTTTAATGTATTTCATGTGCATGAGGCTTGTCAGCAGGACTTATGAATAAAAATTGCTGCTTTCGCTGGCAATATCGCTTGGTAATCGTGTAAATCAACTGAACCAATCCAAGAAAATCTTAATCCTGGTGTCGAAAAAAACTACTCAATTGCATTTCGCATAGTTGAATTAAAATACT